AAAAAAAAAGAATGCAAAACATCAACAGACGTGACGAGGATCACTACCAAACAATACCTAATAGTAACTACACACAAAACAAAGCATAAGCGAAATAGAAACATCAATAAAGCCGAGATACATTTCTATTTCAGAAAGTCCCAAAGATACCAAATGAAATCAAGCATATAAGTCTCATTATCACACTGAAGATCAAGCTCCATGAGTGAGAACAAAACAAAATCTAGGCTATTTAGAGAAATAAGCCGGCTATCTTTCGCAAGTAATGATCGGTGTTTAAAGCATTTTACCATAATACTAGCTTAATACAAAACCAAACTACACAAGACAAACAATATCATGTGAAAACAGTTAAACAACCAGAATCAAGACCTTGTGAACGATACTCGGCAGCTTTCAGACGGAAATCACCGGCCACAATGGTGGCCGCCTGAGTTTTCGCCTGCGAAAGGGTGGCTATATTGTGCAAGTGAGAGATGCTCCGGGGAGTGTACTCGAAATCCGGCACGTCTTTCCCGGCTGCATCAAACTGCGAAACGAGCCATGCCTTCACCTCTGCAATTCGATTAGCATCAAAGCCACTGCTCATGGACGACTCAGACGATGTGATCGAAATAGGGGGAGATGGAGGATCAGATCCCCCACCAAATTCACTCATTTTTTTTTCAGTTTCTTTTCTCCTCTTCCTTTGTTTCGAATCTTACAATCCTCAATTCAAAAACCTTCACTCACAAAAATATAAGAAACAAAATTAAGATGATAGTGAGAATACGAATACGCAAAACCGTACCAAATAGTAAAAGTCAAATTCAAAATGGGAAAAATGGTAGTTCACTGCAGAAAAATTAAAAATTTCATCAGAAACTTAAAGGCGAAGGCCGTACTTCAATGGAGGTCCGAGTTGAACTATGGTAACTAAACGCATAAACCCTATTGTGCAATAAATCGGTTTGTGAAGTAGATTTTCACTAACAGCTCAAAGAATGTGGCTTTCATTTGAAATTGTGTAAGAACCCAGTCCGTAAAACACCGTAGAAAATGATAGCTCACGCTCAGAATTGGGATACAGATAGAGAAAAATACCTGGAAATTGAAGAGCGCCGCCGGGGAATCGCCGGGAAGGAGCGAGGGAGCCTATAGATCGCCAGCCGGAGATCGGTTTTTGAACTGGGGGAGGGAATGTGTAAATTCTTTTATTTGTTGAAGTTAAATGCAATTTTGGCCCCCAATAACAAAATAATCATTTTTTTTTTATAAAAAGGAAAAGAAATTAATGTAATATATACAACAAATAAACCTATCATATTATTTGATTACTTAAATAACGTTAATATAATTTTATTAATATGAAAAATTTACAAACCGTTGTAATCATATTTGTCACATATTTTAATTGTTGTGCGATTGGGCAAGGTTGGGCCATGCTTATCAACTGCCCAATTATCTCACTAAATATGAAAAATTTCCATTTCATTTTAGTTTATGAATAAGGTTTTTGTACCAAAGTTGTGTTTTGATAGAAAATTCATATAATCTTATGGGGTGTATTCCACCATTCGTTTAGGGTTCTAAAAGACATTTAAGATTCTTCAAGATATATTTCACCAGTCTTTTCAAAATTTTATAATTTCTTTTTTCTTATTTTTTTTGTGTTTGCATTGAATAAACATCAAATATGTAAATATATCGTTCTGAAAATTTATAAAAAAATTATAAATTAGTTTGAACATGAAGCAATGTGAATTTTTGTTTTTACATTTGTTTATTTATTTTTTTGTACAAATATTAAGTCAACTACCCTATGCATATAAAAGGTAATGAATATAGGAAAAATGCAACATGGAATTGGGTCAACCGTTACAAATTTTCCAAGGACTATATCCATCAGACTATATTCATTAGAAAATAATCTAAACTAATAATGGCCACAAAAAATATTTTATGAAAATAAGTAATTAAAAAATTCTTCAATTTAAACAAACAATTGTGGAACAAACATAATTTTAACAAGATCATAAAATTTACTCATCAATAGAAAAAATATTTGTATTAGAGTAACAAAACAATGGGTTCTCCAACAAAAACAAAATATGGACAAAGAAGAAGAAGAGATGATGAAGATAAATAATTCTTCACGTTGCAAACTGATTTTTAAGAATCAATTTTAATTATTTAATTACAAATAAATTTGGTTCTAGCGTAATATTTTTGTTACTTATTTTTTTCCGTCTTTGTCAAACATATACATATCCATTTTGATTACTAAATTTTAATGGAATTTTGTTTTCCATATGAAAGGATGTCAGAAATGATTACTTCAATAATTTTTTAATGATCAACAATATTCAGTAAGGCGTAAGTGTTTGAGAATCACATAAAATATCTATATGTTTTTTACGTGTTTAATAGTTTTTTATATATAATTATGCATGTCAAGAAGAAGAAGAAGAAAAAGAAGAGATGATACTGTACCTTGTAAAAATTCTTCACGTAAAAATCTTTTACAATTCCACCTTTTGATGTGAGATTTGTAATGAGATCCGATACATATATTTTCTTCATAAAATGCTAGCAAATCCAAATAAAATACAAATCCCAAAAATTTTCAAGAATATGAAAACCTTGTGATTTTGTGGGAATTTAAAAAATCTGAATTGAATACCTTTGGATTTCTGAAGGCTTTTAAAAAGTCACTAGAAATCCTAATTAAGTACCTGTAGACTTTTTAAAGTTTTGAAAAATCTTATTTAATTACACCAAGATTTCACAAATCCTAAAAAAATCTTTAAAAGTCCTTAAATATCTTAAACTAAAGGCGGTGTATACAATTGAGATTTCTAAAGACTTTTTAAAAATCTAAAAATCTTGGTGTATTCAATTTAGATTTGTTAAGACTTTTTAAAATCCTAGGGAATTCAATTAGGATTTTAGAAAGTCTTACAAAATCATGAGGTAATTAATTTATTTCACACTAGTATTTATTATGACTTTTTAAGATTTGATGAAATTTCTAAACAAAAAAACCTTATACGAACTTCAAATCCTACCTTCAAATTTTTAAAATTTCATAATATTATATTATATAAAATTATAATATTATATCATATATAATATTATATAATATAATATTACATAATATTATAATAATATTATATAAGATTATAATATAAATAATAATATACAATATTTATAATAACCGTTATATCTAATACATATATAATATATAACATTATAATATTATATAATATAATATTATATAATATTATATAAATTATATTTTATAAAAATTATTATTATTATATATATATATTATATAAATTACTATATATATAATATAATATATATAATATATAATAAATATATATTATTATATATTATTATATATATT